GATAGACCAATGGAATCAAATTGAAAACCCTGATATTAACCCACACACCTATGAACACCTTATATTTGACAAAGGTGCTAAATCTATACAACGGAAGAAAGATAGCATCTTCATTTAATGGTGCTGGCACAACTGGATTTGGACATGCAGAAGATTGCAGATAGATCCATACCTGTCACCATGCACAAAACTTAAGTGCAAATGGATCAAAGATCTCTGGATCAAAGATCTCTCCATAAATCCAGCCACACTGAATCTTCTAGAAGAGAAAGTGGGAATTACCCTTGAACTAATTGGCACAGGAGACCGCTTCCTGAACATTACACCAGTAGCACAGACATTGAGATCTTCAATTAATAAATGGGACCTCCTGAAACTGAGACACTTCTGTAAGGCAAAGGACATGGTCAGTAAGACAAAACAACAGCCCACAGATTGGGAAGAGATCTTCACCAACTCAACATCTGACAGACGGCTGATTTCCAAAATATACAATGGACTCAAGAAGCTAGCCACCAAAATACCAAACAATGAAATTAAAAAGTGGGGTGCAGAACTAAATAGAGAATTCTCAACAGAGGAATCTGAAATGGCTGAAAGACACTTAAGAAAGTGTTCAAAATCCTTGGCCATCAGAGAAATGCAACTCAAAACAACTCTGAGATACCACCTCACACCTGTCAGAATGGCTAAAATCAAAAATACCAATGACAATCTATGCTGGAGAGGATGTGGAGAAAAAAGAACACTCTTCCATTGCTGGTGGGAGTGCAATCTTGTAAGACCACTCTGGAAATCAGTATGGTGGATGCTCAGAAAAATGGGAATCAGTCTACCTCAAGATCCATCCATTCCTCTCTTGGGTATATACCCAAATAGTGCATGTTCATACAACAAGGACATATGTTCAACCATGTTCATAGCAGCATTGTTTGTAATAGCCAGAACCTGGAAGCAACCTAGATGCCCCTCAACTGAAGAATGGATAGAGAAAATGTGGTACATTTATACAATGGAGTACTACTCAGCAGAAAAAAGCAACAGGATCTTGAAATTCGCAGGCAAATGGATGGAACTAGAAGAAATCAACCTGAGTGAGGTAACCCAGTCACAAAAAGACAATCATGGTATGTACTTACTCAAATATGAATTTTAGATGTAGAGCAAGGGATTACCCGCCTACAATCCTCTTCACCAAAGAAATTAGGAAACATGAAGGACTCTAGGGGATAAATGCTTGGACCCCAGGAGTGGGAAAGGGCAGGAGATCCTGGGCTGATTGGGAGCCTGAGGGTAGGGGAGAGGGAGCTGCCAGAATGAGAGCAGGAGAAGAGCAAAGGAGAGGAGGAAATTGAGGAGCAGATATATTGATTTGGGGGAAGAATGGAGGAGAGCAGGATGAGAGATACCATATTAGAGGGAGCCTTTTAGATCCGAGGAGAGATCTGGCACTAGGGAGATTTCCAGAGACTTACAAGGATGACACAAACTGACAATCCAGGCAATGGTGGAGAGGATAACCTAAGTGCCCTTCCCCTAAAATGAGATTGATGACTACTGTGTATGCCATCTTTGAGCCCTCATCCAGTGGCTGATGGAAGCAGAGGCAGACATCCACAGATATACACTGTGTAGAGAGGGAGGAATGAAGATAGAAGGACTTAGTTGCAAAGAGGGAGGAATGAATTCAAAGGGGTCTGTACCCGGTTGGAGAAACCCACAGAAACAGCTGGCCTGAACAAGGGGGGGCACATTGGCCCCAGATGCTGTCTGGGAGGCCTGTACAGGATTGATCCAGACCCCTGAACATGGATGTCAATGAGGACATCCATGGGGGTCTGGTAGTGGATTAATGATTTTCCCTGTTGTAGGAGGGGCCTTTGAGAGCCCATCCCACGTGAAGGGATGCACTCTTGCCCTGGACACATGGGGAAGAGCTTGGGCCTAGCCCAGGATGATGTGGTGGACCTTGCAGAGTTCCAGTTGAGGGCCCTACCCTGCCTGGGGGGTAGATGCGGTGGGGGGTAGTTTGGGGTGGGGTAGGAGGGGTGAGGGTGAGGGGAGGGAGAGGGAGAAGGGATTGACATGTGAAACAAGCTTGTTCCTGATTTGAACTAATAAAAAAATAAGATATGGAACAAAAAAAAAGATAAGACCTCTATATAAATAATGGATACCCTTTGTTTTTCTCTCTTACAGGATGGCCTCAAACTCAAAATCCAAGTGTGTCAATTCCGATGTGCCAGTATTGCAGGTATACATTCCTCATTAAAAGATTATTTTCCATGTAATGTGATATTTACTGGAAGAGCCTTGATCCTTACCCATAATAGATATCTCATGAAATTGTGTGTCAAAATTTTATTTTCCAGACATATTCTCTGTTTGCAAGTAATATGATATGGACATTGAACAACAACAACAAAAAAGAGATGATCCTGATAGCTGGCCTGTTTGTGTCCGGCAGAATTAACACAGCTTGATTGATACCTTTGCTGGGAAAGGGTGGGAACTGGGGCAGGAAGCAGCTGTAAAACACAGGGGAATGTAGCTTGCCTGAAATTGTGTTCTTCCTCTCGTGATTGTATAAGGCATTTTGACCTGGTAAACATCTCTCCTTCATAGTCTTCCAGAAAGCCAGAGGGACATAATTGCCGATTCAGGATTCAAAGACCACCGCCCCCAACACCTCTCCCACCTCACACAAATCATTTTGTAATCCATGACCATGAAGTACAAGGATGACAATTAATTTTGAGAATGAGGCAAACTGTGTTCACTAGGGCAGTGAACCACCGCACTAAGGGCCCTTCTGAAGGCTCCAGCCCCAATCTTGCCATTCTTAGGCTTCAAAGGGTTAGTTAGCATCATCTTCAATGAGGTTCTGAGTCCTGTGGCTGCCAGTGCTGCCTTGTGGGCAGGAGGAGGTCAGGGCCCTGTTGGCTTCCCTACTGGGCCAGTTCATCCAAGTACAGTATTGGGAGGCATTCAATTAGTAGACGGGGCAGGGCCTGGGCAGCACCTTCCACGTTAGTCATGCTGACAGACAGCAGAGAAGAAACAGAGGCCAGAGAAGTGATTTTAAAAGGAAAAAGAGCAGCTTCACTCATAAAAAAATTGAAAAGATGATTTTTTAAATAAAATAAAATAAAGTAAAAGTTGGGAATTTTTTTTTCTCTGCAATGCTCAGCCATTTTTCTGGAGACATAAAAAAGTTTTAAGAGTAGTCACTTTGTTTTGCGTCTGGCTTAAACATTCACAAGAGCTGATGGGACAGTGCCATCATGTGTTCTGTGTGTCAATGCTGGTCAGGGGTCCTTCAGAACACATACTGGTACCGGTCTGCCTTCCCTTGGTCTGGTGTGGCAAAGGGGCTGGTTAGAGAGAAAGGGTGGCCCCAAACAGCTTTCATCTTCTCTCTTCCTTTTTCAATTGTTCAATTGTTCTATTCCCATGTCATCTGTGCAGATAGAGTGCACTTGGGTCTCAAACATCACTGATGAGAAAATGAGGAAGAGCAGTGTCTCGAAGCACAACAGGATTAGCAGGATGACTGTGGTGGGTGGCACGGGACTGCACTTTGTCCAGTCTTCTTCAAAGCAATGCAGGAAGTGGAATTCCACCATGACGAGGGTGTGCAAGGAAATGAGAGCTATGTACATTGTAAGTAGGACGAAGTACTTCTGGTTGTTCTTGCCCACACAGTTGTTGATCCAGGGACAGTGATGGCCCATCTTGGGAACACACCGTTTACGAACACTGCAGTGGTGGGCTCGGTCGGGCTTGATGCGGTAGCACTTGGGGCACTTGCACAGCACCTTCCCAGGCTTCAGCTGAAGGCTCTTGATGAACTCTTGAGTGGCATTTCCTTTGGGCACTGTCCCGGGGTCCGTCAGCATGGCCCGGCAGTGTGAGGCCAGGGCCAAGAAGGCCAGCAGATTGAACACAATTCCGTTGATGATTCCATTTCTGGATGGAATCAGCACCACAAAGAGGACTACAAACTCTGCATAGAGGACCAGAAACCAGGTAACAATTGCACAGGCGATGCCACAGCCATCACAAATAAACCACATGGTTCCCGCAGGACCAGGGAAGGGAGGTGGGGCTCACTTCTCTGGCTGGAGGTACTCTGGTTTCCTCACAATGTCTCAGAAGTGTTGAGTGGGGACAAGCATCATAAGCTATTCTGTCCATACTGGTATCATCATTTTGAAGGCAGCTCGCAGTCCCGGGGCCCAGCCTCCAGCATCCATCTGTGATGGCTTGGACACCTGGCAGAACGGCTTGCCAGCCTCGGCCTCACACTGGGCAGCGGAGAGGCCCATGGAGCTCCAGGAGGTGGCTGCAGCTGCCATCGTGAGGACTTGTGCACTATCTTGTGTGTCTTTCAGCCATTTTATTTTCCTCTATTGAGAATTCTCTATTTAGTTCTGTATCCCACTTTTTAGTTGGATTATTTGGTGTTTCGGACACTAGCTTCTTGAGTTCTTTGTAAATTTTGGAGATCAACCCTCTGTCAAATGTGTGGTTGGTTTATTAATTGTTGATTTCAGTGTCTGTGCTACTGGTGTTATGTGCAGGAAGCTGTCTTTTGTACCAATCCATTCAAGGGTACTTCCCATGTTCTCTTCTAAGAGGTTCAGTGTGGCTGGATTCATGTTCATGTCTTATCATTTGGACTTAAGTTTTGTGCATGGCTATAGACATGGATCTATCTGTAGTCTTCTACATGCCAGCATCCAGTTATGCCAGCACCATGCTTTCTTTATTCCATTGTATAACTTTAGCTTCTTTGTCAAAAATCAGGTGTTCTTAGTTATGTAGGTTAATTTCATGGTTTTCAGTTCAATTCCATTGGTGTACCTGTCTATTTTTGTGCCAATACCGAGCTGTTTTCAGGACTATAACTCTATAATAGAGCTTGAAGTCAGGGATGGTGATGCCTCCAGAAGTTCCTTTATTGTACAGGGTTGTTTTGGCTATCCTGGGTCTTTTGTGTCTCAATATAAAGTTGAGTATTGTTCTTTCAAGGTCTGTGACCAATTGTGCTGGTATTTTGATGGGAATTGCATTGAATCTGTAGATTGCTTTTGGCAAGATTTCCATTTTTACTATGTTGATCATACCTATTCAAGAGCATGGGTGATCTTTCCATTTTGTGATATCTTCTTTAAAGACTCAAAGTTCTTACTATACTGATCTTTCACTTGTTTGGTTAGTGCTACTGCAAGATATTTTATGTTGTTTGTGGATATTGTAAAGAGTGATGTTTCTCTGATTTCTTTCTCAGCCCATTTATTGTCTGTATATAGTAGGGCTGCTGATTTTTTTTTTTTTTTGAGTTAATCTTGTATCTTGAAGGTGTTTATCAGCTTTAGGAGTTCCCTGTAGAGTTTTTTTGGGTCACTTATGTAGACTATCATATCATCTGCAAATAGTAAAAGTTTGATTTCTTCCTTTCCAATATGTATCCCCTTGATCTCCTTTTGTTATCTTATTGCCCTAGCTAGAACTTCAAGTAAAATATTGAAGAGATATGGAGAGAGCGGACAGCCTTGTCTTGTTTCTGATTTTAGAGGAATTTCGTTGAATTTCCAAATGGACCAAAGACCTCATCATAAATCTAGCCACACTCAACCTCTTTGAAGAGAAAGTGAGAGGTACCCTTGAACAAATTGGTACATGAGACTGCTTCCTGAACATATTACCAGTAGCACAGACGATGAGATCAACAATTAATAAATAGGACCTCCTGAAACTGAGAAACTTCTGTAAGGTGAAGGACACAGTCAACAAGAAAAAATGGCAGCCCACAGAATGGGAAAAGATATTCACCAACCCCACATCTGACAGAGGACTGATCACCAAAATTTACAAGAATTCAAGAAGCTAGTCTCCAAAATACCAACTAATCTAATTAAAAAGTATTGTAAATAACTAAATAGAGAATGTTCAATTGATAGTCTAAAATGGCTGGTAGACACTTTAGAAAGTGCTCAACATCCTTAGCCATCAGGTAAATGCAAATCAAAACATCTCTGTGATACCATTTTACTCCTGTCAGCATGGCTAAAATCAAAATCAACAATGACAGTTTATGCTGGAGAGGATATGGAGAAAGGGGAACACTCCTCCACTGCTGGTGGGAGTACCAACCTATACAGTCACTTTGGAAATCAATATGGTGGTTCCTCAGGAAAATGGGATTCAGTTTACCACAAGATCCAGCAATCCACTCTTAGGCATATACCCAAAAGTTGCACATTCATACAACAAGGACATCTGTTCAACCATGTTCATAGTAGTAATATCCAGCAAACTATATGCCCCTCAACTGAAGAATGGATGGAAAAAAAGTGGTATATTTACACAATGGAGTACTACTCAGTGGAAAAAAAAAACCAATGGGATCTTGAAATTCTCAGGCAAACGGATAGAACTAGAAGAAACCATTCTGAATGAAGTAACCCAATTACAAAAAGACATAGTATGTACGTACTCACTCATATATGGATTCCAGACACAGAGCAAAGTATTATCAGCCTACAATACACACTGCCAGAGAAGCTGGCAAACAAGGAAGACCCTAAGAGAGACATACATGGTCCCCTAAAGAAGGGGAAAGAGAAAGATCTCCTGAGCAATTTGGGAGCATGGTGGGAGGGGGGAGGGAGGTAGGAGAAAGAGTAGGGGGAACATAGGAGGGGAGAGGAGGACATGAAGTAGCATGAAGGTTGAGTTGGGGGAAGAATAGAGGAAAGCCAAATAGAAGATACCGTAATAGAGCAGTCATTACAGGTTGAAAGAGAAACCTGGCATTGGGTAAATGTCCTGAGATCTACAAGGATGACACCTACTAACATTGTAAGCAATAGTGGAGAGACTACCTTAAATGCCTTTCCCTGATAATGAGATTGATAACTCCCTTATTCACCTTCCTAGAGCCTTCATCCAGTAGCTGATGGAAGTAGAAGCAGACAGCCACAGCTAAACACTGAACTGAACTCCTGGAATCCAGTTACAGAGATGGAGGAGTGATGCCCAAAGGGGTAAAGACCAGGCTTGTGAAACACACAAAAATAGCTAATCTGAACAAGGGGGAGTTCATGGACCCCAGACTGACAGCTGTGAAACCAGAACAGGACTGATCCAAACCCTCTGATCATGGGTGTCAGTTAGGAGGCCTCAGGAATTTATGGGGCCTCTGGTAGTAGATCAGTATTTATCCCTAGCATAGGAATGGAACTTGGGAGTCCATTCCACAGAGAGGGATACTCTCTCAGCCTAGACACAAGGGGAGGGCCTAGGCCCTGCTACAAATGATATGACAGACTTTGAAGATCTCCCATGGAAGTCCTCACCCTCCCTTGGAAGCAGAAAAGGGATGGGATAGAGGGTTAGAGGGGGGCAAAGGAGGAGGGGACAGAGAGGGACCTGGGATTGAGATGTAAAACAAGCTTTTCTAATTTAAATAAAAATATAAAAAAAGAAAAAAGTTTAGGCTTATAATTCCTTTAAGATTCCTTATAAGATTACTTTTCAAGACAAGTAATAGGTAAAACATTTAATCATGTAAGGGATATTGAAAACATGCTTTTTTTTTTTACTTGTATTCATTCAGCTGAAAAACAGAGTTTAAGCACATTATAGTTTCAATATTGTCTGAAAGATTTTTCTGGGGCATATAACCTGTAATGGAAAGAAAAGAGAGTTAGAAAGAATTAAAATGATTTAGGAGGAAAGCATCAAGAGTCAGAAAATTAGAAGGGAAACATCAAGAACAAAGGTAGACTTTAAGGAGTACTCCAAGAATGAATTAGGAGGAGACCATCAGAAGAGTTAGAAAAACAAGGAAATCATGAGGACAGATAGAAGGGATATTTCTGGATAGAGATAAAAAAGAGACCATAGAACACAGAGTGAAGAATACAGAGGAATAAAGAAGGAAACCATCAAGAGAATGTGTGTCTTTGTCTGTTATCTTTCTCAGATATAAATATCTAGTATGCATAGAGTCTGTAGCTTCCCTTTGAGCCTGAACTGCTGGAGGCTGACCCTATCCCCAGGCAGTAATAAGTCTTTTTGTCCTTAGTGTCTCATTTACTAGTCTGTGTAGAACTGTCATAGCTTTTAGGATTTTAGGAGCCTATTTACTGTTTTAGTTCAGCTGCAGCCACAAACATTGTCTCCATTTGCGTAATTTTTACCACCACCACCAAAAAGTTTATTAAACACTTATTAAAATGGGAAAATATAAGAACAAAAAAGTTATACTCATCTTCAACAGTGAATACCTGGACATATTCTCTGTTGGGTCCCTCTTGGAGGTTTAAGAACACTATAACTGGTAGGTTGTGGGGAAAATTCAACTTTATTTTGAGGTATTTTACATAGTAATTATAAAAGGAGCAAGTGGAAAACATTCCTTAATTGTTTTGAAAGAATATCAAGGAAAAATACTGTACAGAATCATGACTATTGAATACTTTCTAGGGAACATACAGTACAGGGTATGTTCTATTCTAACTCCATTCTAACTCCCCTTACACATGTTGATAAGGTATTAGGGATAATAACTTTGTAAACTCCTAAATGAAACCTGGTACACAAACTAATAGAGAGCTGAAATATCACTGACTTTATTTTCCTCATTGTCATAGAGTGTAGACTTGCATTTTTACTGTTTTTTAAAAAAGTATTTCGGATACCTTCCTGTAACTCACAATCTGGTAGCAGAGCTTCTTCATTGCTGCTTTCATCTCTTTGTTTCTGAATGTGTAGATGACTGGATTCAGAAAAGGGGTGACGACTGCGTCAAAAATAGCAAGGAATTTGTCCCAGTGTGATGAAGGAAAGGGCCAGGTGTAGAAGAAGATTAATGGTCCAAAGAATAAAACCACCACAGTCACATGAGCTGACAAAGTAGAGAGGGCCTTGGATATGCCACCTGAAGAGTGCTTCCTAACAGTTACTAAAATGAAGATATAAGAAATAATCAGTATGAAGAAGGAGCCCACAGAGATGAGTCCACTGTTGGCTGTAACCATGAACTCCAACTTATTGGTCTCTGTGC